TTATATTTTTGTTTTTTTGTAAAATAGAGTTGATTTTGCATTTTTCTGCAGTTTTGATTTGTTATTTTTAGTAGCAGACTTAGATCGACTATGCTTCATCATAGTCAAATAATAAACCTGATATAAAAAAATAAATTAAAGAACAATTTTTTTTTAAATAAAGAATTTCCTTAATCAACTATGAAGCACAGTCGATTTAAGACTAATCGACTATGCTTCATAGTCGATTAAAAAAAGGAAAAAAAAAAAAATCGCGGAGCGCGTGATCTAGTGATGAAGTGGCGGGCGGGGTAAAGCTGGAAAACATAATGGCTGAAATTGGAACATGAGTTTCTCAAATGATCTAAAATATTTTGGGGTTATCCCCATTAAAAAAAGTAATAATGGGTTATGTCAAAGAGCCCCTTTAAAATAAGATACTTTCATAATATATCTAAAACATATGTACAATAGATTTTCGGGCTTATAAGTTGTAATACAAAAACTATGTTGTAAATTAAATTTTATTTTGCACAATCATCAACTTGCAAATTAATTATTTAATGTTGATTTTCATTAAAAATGCAAACACCCTTAACGTACATATAGAAGGGAAAAAAACAATTATTCATAATCAACAACTTTTACTCTTTTTTTTTCAACAAACACCACCCCAATCGAATTGGCAGACTTTTTCCATCGATTATTCGTACATTTATTTATAAGCATCTACTTTTATTTATTAGAAGTTTTTGCAAATACCAAATCGAATCGATGAACTTTTTCCATGAAGTAGGTTAGCAATTCATCAGTTATACGCAAAATTAAGAAATATCGCCCGGTGGTTAAAATTGGATATTGGAGATATTAATATTAAATGATACATTTCACTAACAGCTTAAACTTTTGGTTGAGATGGTCATTCAACATGGTATTAGAGCCAGACCAAATGAAAGGTCCTGAGTTCGATCCCACAGCCATTCATTTAAAAATATTTCAAGTGCAACCTTAAAAAATTTAAAAATA